CTTCTATAAGTCGAAAGGAGACTGCGACCATACCCGAGGCCACAACATCTTGGTCTTCACATCTTCAACTGCCTCTATTTTGTTTGCAATCTCTTTGCGCAGGATAAAAGTAGTAGGGTATCACTTTTCATAATATATTCATGATATAAATACAAAATTTAATGATACTTTTTAGCAAATGACCTTGAAATAAGTACAATATGATAGCTACAGTAGGATTGGATCCGAAAAATGTGGTTCTTATCAAGACCACTCTAGCAACACAACTAACTTACTAACTTACTAAAGCATTTTCCACAAAATATATAGAAAGTAAGCATGGTAAAATTTAATCAAAGATATAAAGACCAAGATGGTGTGGCATTTTGGGTGCTCGCAACCTTGTTTTCTCAATTCGGTCATATTGGTAGGAAGACTTAGAGGAACGCACCTAGTCCGAAGTCAATAGTATGCATCATCATTTCAGGAGTAAGACCGTAGACGTGGTATATTTCCAGACGTTTCACCAGCATCGTAGTCGCCATTGTCAGTGAGTCTCGCCATTCGTAGCACAATATTACAACTCGTCAAAGAGACAAGTGAAGCCTGTCGTTTGACCAAACGTTTGCTAAACAATTGTGGTATCTCCCCTTCTGCCCTAAGCTATTCACATTTACTATATCCTGCTATCACGCCTTCCCTATCACAATTTTTACCGTGCTTATTTTTAATGTAGTGTGGTGTGCTCCTTCGAACGGCATTCATGAAAACCCTTCATACTCCGAACTGACGTTGTCACCCCCTTAACCTTTGTGCTGGAAATGTTTACCAGAGTCTGTCATATTGTTATGTAATCCTTCCCTGGGTCCTATCAAAGTCCCCCTCTAGTCCCGTAGAATCCGTTTGCTATCACCCTCGTACATATATTTTACTTGACCCCTGCGTCCCATCTGTTCTACTCGAAGCGTAATTCGTCCATCCCCTGCACCTGTGCGATTTATTAGAGGCTAAAGGCTCAGAGTAAGACTCATGATCAGGCCTTTGCTACATGGACTAGGGCTGGCAAGTCATAGAATTGGTAATAGGGATAGAACAAGATAGAGGAGGCGGCGATTGGAGCTAGTTGGATCACGGTAGGTTTTACATAAGACGTGGTCATTAAATTTTTTATTTTTGTCATGAAAACATTATTAAAACTGATGCCCTACTACTTTTATCCGGCGCGAAGAGATTGCAAACAAAATAGAGGCAGAAACAGGAATAATCACTGAGTAGAATATTAGACTAGGCTAAAGCCTGTTTTTGAACCTAAAATTGCCAAATAACTCGGGTTTGTTGCCTACACACACATCGATGAAGCTGTAAAAAGACCGAGGACTATTGGGTTATACTCTGATTTATCTACAAAAAAACAGTTTTGACCATATCCACTTCCCTGCCTACAACACTTTGACCCACTTACATGCATGTAGGACAAGAATATGTCAGCCAACTGAATCTTGAAATCGAAGATATGTAGACCAAGATGGTGTGGCCCTTAGTGTGGTCGCAGTCTAATTCCGTTGTATAGAGGTTGTTTGACCTTTCTTTCGCAACTTGGTCATATTGGTAGGAAGGCTTAAAGGAACGCACCTAGTCCGGAGTCCGTTGTATGCATCATAATTTTAAGTCTGAGTGTACACGTGGTACATTCACAGATGTTTCGCCGGCATCGTCACCGAGTCTTACCACACTTAGCACCACACTATAACTAGTCAAAGAGACAAGTGAACCTGATCCTTTGACCAAACGTGTGATAAACAGTTGTGGCATCTCTCCTGCCCTGGGGTTGTCAAATTTCCTATATCCTCGTATCCCGCCTTCAATGTTACAATTTTTTAAAGTGCCTATTTAGATGAAGTGTGGTGTTCCCTTTTGAGCGGCGTTCATGAAAACCCTCCACACTCCACGTTCAGGTTCTCCCCTCCCCTTACTCTTGTGCTGTGAATATCAATAAGAGTCTGACATATTGTCATGCAGTCCTCCTTCTCTAGAACTTAGCAGAGTTTTCTTCTTGCCCCGTAGAATCCGTCTGCTAAGGCCCTGGTTCAAGTATTTCACACGACCTCTGCCACCCATCTGTGCTACTCGAGGCGTTATTTCCCATACTCTGCGTCTGAGTGACTAATTTGAGGCTAAAGCTTCTGAGTAAGACTCCTGGTCAAGCCTTTGCTACATGTACCACGTCTCTTGTGAAACCTACTGTCAGCCAACTTTCTTCAGTCTCCGCCGCGTCTATCTTGTTTCTATCTCTAATACTGTGTCTAGCACTTCCAATGCCATAGTTTTCTATGTGCCAGCCCATAAACGTTATGGTGTATATTGAACCTAATCAAAGCAAGCAGTACCACAACATTTGTTGGTTGGCACACAAGATACTAGAGCATAGTAAGTCATTTACTTGGTATTACGAATAGAAACAGGATAGACGCGGCGGAGACATGAGCTAGTTGGCTGAAAGTAGATTTTACCATAGACGTGGTCCATGTAGCAAAGGCTTTATCATGAGTATTATTTGGGGTCTTTAGACTCAAGTTAGTTTAGCAGATGCAGACAGTAGGACATACCGCCTCGTGGAGTACATATGGGGTGACAGGGGTCGAGTGAATTATTAAACCAGGAGTATACAGACGGATCCTACGGGCAAGAGGGTAACTATAATAAAGCTTAGGGAAGGAGGACTGCATAACAATATGGCATACTAATCAACATTTTCAGTAAAATAGTGAAGGAGAGTGAGAATGCCAGCGTGGAGTGTGAGGGTTTTCATGAATGCCGCTCAAAGTAGCACACTACACTACATCTAAATAAGCATGGTAAAATTCTAACAATGACTGCGTGGATACCACAACTGTTTAGCACACGTTTGGTCGAAGGATCGGCTTTAATCTTCTCTTTGACGAGTTGTGGTGTGTTGCTAAGAGTTGCAAGACTCACTGACGATGCCGACTACGATGCCGGCGAAACGTCTGGGAATGCACCATGTCCAGGCTACGACTTTGCAGATGATCATGCATACAATGGACTCCGGACTAGGTGCGTTCTCCTAAATCTTCCTTCCAATACGGCCAAGTTTCGAAAACAAGGTCAAACATCTTCTATGGTGAAATTTAGCTTAAAATAGATATAGATATAGATGTCTCTAGCTAGAGGCATATTAATTATCATTTATGCTGATAAGCCTTAGTTCGTGGCAGATAATTATTTAAATTCGACTGTAGTCAACCTGGAGCTATGGAAATCAACGAAATAGAAAATAATCTCTTTTGTTAACAAAATAAGAGTTTAGTGTCAAATCTTAACATGAATTTTCGGACGACTACAGGGTTCAGCGCTTCAAAAACTGCTACTAAACACTTTAATTTTGAGCATTTAGTAAAATCATTATATCGATCCTGCTCTTTCAACTTATTTCTTTCAGTTACCATAAATTTGTTTAATTAATATAGATCGATTTAGTATCCAATTTGGAATTAAAATGGAGAATATATGCCACAGAATTTCTAAGTATACACAAATTTATAAAATTAATTTATATTTTAAAATGTGCTTTCTAATTTTTTTAAACTTTTCTTCTATTAAATTGCTTCTTTGCATTAGTGATTTGTGCTATTTCGACTAATATTATGCCCAAGAAACTCACCACAAACACTAAGTCTCTTGAAGCTAGGGAACGCAGAGCTGCAAAAAAGTTGGAGGAGAGGGAGAAGAAAGAAATAGAACTTGCGAATGAGTATTGGAAAGACGATGATAAGATTGCAAATCGCAAAAAACAGCGGCAAGAAGAAAAGGAAACTAAAAAGAATGAACTTGTAGCCAGGAAAAAAGAGCGCGAGGAACTATATGAGAAAGAATTGGCTTTGCTTAAATCTGCTAAAGAAAATAAGCCTAAAGCCGAACTAACAAAATTGACTCAGTACCAAATCGATGTGTCCCAGCAGCGTTTGCTGTCAGTAGAGAAACAGCCAGATAGTAAAGACGCAGTGGATCTATCAGATACCTTTATTGAAGAAAACTTAAACCGTGTGATCCCTGATGGCCTTGAAGCTAGAACTGTAGAGGATGCTATCTCTATTCTAGAGTAAGTAGAACACTGTTTTGGCTCGATAGCACTGGCCTGCTCTGGCCGATATTTTAAATGATATGCCTCTTGCTTTTATTCCATATTTTATTTGTGGGTATCAGAACAGTTGAGTTCATTTTTGCTATGTTCAAAGTTCATTAGTATGGTACCAATACTTGTTATATTAATCAGCTATTTATTCTTTAATCACACTATCAACGACCTATTTCCAAATATTTTTAGTCTTGCAAGACAAAGTGATCCTGGTGACAATCATCCTGAAAAGAGGATGAAAGCCGCATTTTCCGCGTACCTAAATAAACGTCTTCCTGAAATGAAGGCAGAGTTTCCTTCCATGCGGCATTCCCAACTGAAGGAACGAATCTTTAAGGAATTCCAAACATCTGCAGAAAATCCTAAAAATAAGTCTAACTAAATGAATCTAGATACACATGTACAGTTTGGTTATTTTTTGTTTCATTCCTATGAAATTCTTCTGCTTCTCGTTCGTTCCCTAAAAAGATTTCATCATTTTTCATATTGCTACATTTTATTTATTGGGTATATTCGCGTTTGATCTTGGAAAGATAGTTTGATAATTTGATTTTCATGTTTTCCTTCTCCCGGTTCTCAGGATTTGTTGTAATAGAGTCGGTAGTCAATATTGCGAAGAAAACAACTTCGATAACTCTAGTGGATTATTATTACATGTGGCAGAGGGTTCATGATTGAATTTTCGCACAATAACAAGTAGGCCTCAAGCTTCTACTGAATTTAATTGAGCTTCGAAACCTCTAGGCGGATATATCTCGAGTCATTATGTTTGAGCCCTGGTAGGCCAACCTAACCCGTCTGTTGGAATGTTTAATGTTGATCATATTTTTGGAATATAATGGGATGCCTGTTAGGTGTGAGGCGGACAATTAGCTTAGGCGAGACGGAATTTCTCCTGGTTTGGTATATTTTTGTCCTGTTCACTATCGATTCTTGCTGTCTGTCAATACATACGGAAGTTCAGCGCAGGTTCATCAGCGTCGCCGGATGGTGGGCCGAGCACTTCTTGGTACAACTCACAGTTCTTACCGCGGCGATCCTTCGCTTTCCGGTAAGCCCATCCAACGCATTTCCTCCAACCAACTTTTCCTTCGATGTTGAGTCGTGTCCCATATATCACTGAGAAATCCTTCGACCCAGCTTTTCTTTATATCTTTAGTGAGTCTTAAACCTAGCAATATGAAATTATAATAATGGTACTAACATGCCTTTCTTGCGTCTACAATTTGGTTATCTCTGCCAATAACTTCACCAACCAAAATGGCACTAACCAATCGTACTGATCTGCAACTTCATTTCGGACTTGGCCATGCAGTTGTGCTAGTTCGCTCTCATTATATGAGATTCCATGATCTGAAGTAATATAAGTTGGAAAAATCATGTCCGTAAATGTTCATTGTAATCATTTATATCAATTCCTGTCCCGCAACAATTTTGTTAACAGGGTTTCATGCATCCACTTTAAGACCGTTTGGTATCGCTCTTATTGTCCCTTGGTGGTGAATTTCAAAACCAGGCCAAAGAATTTAACTCATATATATCCTTGTATCTCACATAAACGAGATATTAGGACCATGGGCAAGGACATATAATTAGTCTGCCAACTGGCACATGTTTCGGGCCCTGGCTACTAAATTTATGCTAAATGGACGAACAACATGGCTATACATTTTTCCACTGCATACATGGATACGAGGCCCTCGCTTTAAAAGTTTTATCTTAGCGGTTCTGGTGTTCCGAAGCACTGAGTGCTTCCCTGAGTCGTCCCGTAATAAGAAACATCATGCATTCTCGAACATTGGACGAGTGAAGTGGCAAGCATGCGAAGATAAGGCCCTGATTTGGTCTGGGCGATATTCAAAACGCTATAAC